GGGCAGATCCTGATGTTTCTGTGTGTGTGTCTCTGTGTGTGAAACATATCGTTTTTGCTGTGCAATGTAAGATAGATGTCCTCCATAATGTGTCATTGATTGAAAGGTAACTAAATCTCCCAGCAACTGTTTCACCCCTTGAAAAAAAGGTGTAGAAATAACAGATTTTGAGTTCCATCTGAATGTGTAAAGGAATGTTTTGAAGCCTTTTAAAATGCCTTCTGAATGTAATGCATTGAAATAATTTTTGTCCCAACCCACTGCCTTGTGCATTACTGAAATATGATTCTTGTGGGTGACTGATATGCCAGTAAAAACATTTTTTTAATTATTAATTTAATTTTATATTGTTAGGTGTGATATACTTAATACTATATTTAAAAAAACATATGAGGATAGTATTAGGAGTTAAAGGCAGTAAAAATTGAAATTGTTTTGTAGAGGTAGCAAAAAATGATGGAATGACAAAAAAGCAAAAAATGAGACACATAGTCTGAGCCTGTGAAAAGTGTAGCCTAAGCAAACAGATTCTTCATAAGTCTGACTTGTTCATGTCATAATAAAGACACGTTGGGAAGTCTAGAAACATCCCTGCAGTTTCTCTGCCAAGCTGAAAACTAGGCCAACATACTGGTTTGAAAAATCCACTCCGCAGTGGGGCTTCAATCCTTCCCGCTCATTCCAGCCAAGCAAATTCACTTGCGGGTCTTCGGCATAAGCAAAATTAAAGTCTCGCCTCAGTTTCTTTTGCCTCACTGCACACGATGAATCAGTTATGCGGAGACATTACTCTGCTGTCTGCCAATTGCACACAGCTGTAATTATAAGCAGCCTATGTGACTGTGACTAAAGTCATTCCCCCTTAGGTTCACCCTCTGTGGCATCCCCATAAAATGCACACAGAGCTGGGAAAATTGCTGTCAAAAATGTGCCTGATAGTTCAATCTACCCCAGATCAGCACAGAGTTAATCGATGTGTCCTGAGGTGACACGAACTCGTGCACACTGCCACAAGAGAAACTGAACACTGTGACTTTAGCTGCCCCATGGCCCTGTGTCATCATAAACAGAAGAAGAGACTTTAAATATTGGCACATGATTGGTCGATGCCCGTCACATGAGTGTAGCACATGGGCAGTACTGTTCCTTCCAGATATGACACATACCAAGACTCACATTTCTTTACACTCTCCTCTCATCATTAAATTCTCCAAAAGCCCCGAAAATCTTTGACGACCTAAGTCTAACATTGTTATTCTCCCTTGTTCTCCTTCCAGTATCGACTCTCAAAAAACAAACAATGAAAAGCGCATCCATTGATTAATGGGCCCACCAGTGGGATTTGGGCATCCGTTGGGAATAGCTGGGACCTTCCTACCGGAACCTTTTCAGGGGAGGAGGTGACGGAGTGGAGGTGCCCCATCTGTGCGTGCATTCTTCGCAGTTATTGGGGGACGCTCCCTGAAGACAGTGATAAAGAGCCATCAAAAAAAAACCAATTATGCCCAAGGGGCAGAGAGCATGGAGCCAGGGGAGGTGGGGTAGGGTGGAGATGGGGGTATCAAGGGGGGGCCATGAATAGGAGCTTACTGAGGGCGTGCTGAATGCAGCCTCAGAGTGGCCTTCAGCTGTTTCCAATCCAGAACGAATGCACTCGTCAATAGGGGGGCAGGGGAGTCCATGGGGTCGTCTATTTTTCTTAAGGTGTGTGGACTGTTAGCCTTTCACCAAAACCCCCGAGCACTTTTCTGCTGCGCACAGTGTCTGCTTAACGGTTAACTCTTAAAAGTACCTCCTTAGACGCGAGCTGATGCAGAACAAACACGCCCATTGTTTGCGGCCCTTTCGCGTAGCGGCGGAATGATTCATTAGGTCCGATTCTGCCACGAGGGTCTGCTGTCGCGTTCCTCTGTAGCCCGTGATGAGAAATTGCTCCATGCATTGTTGAATTACCCGAGGAAAGCAGGGCTCCCCCCCCTGGCCTGGGTAATGTGCCCAACTCACCAGTGGTTTCTTCAGCGTTTCATTCTCAAAACAATCGGTTAGTATAATCTGCGTTATTGCACACTCACGGGGCAGATGGGTAACACACTGACATCAGTGTTTTCTTTACCACAGGGCCTGTTATGATGATGGTGATGCCGCTGAGTTCTCATCTTCTCCTTGTTCCGTGTTACTTATACTTACATGCTGTCCCATCAGAAGTCATTGGGTGAGGGAGGATTGTGGGTTAAAATCCCAATGCCAACAAAATCATTATACCAACATTGGTCCCTTGAGCAAGGCCCCAAACCCCACTTGCTCCAGGGACACTGGCTGACCCTGTTCTCTCTAATCCTCACTTGTATGTCGCCTTGGATTTAAGAATCTGCTAAATAAATAAATGTAATATAAAACACACTCAGTGTGCTTTTTCCAGTTAAGATATTGAATCCCAGTTGTTTCCAACCAAAGCACCTCCTGTCAGTATGGTCCTTCAGGCTGGTTCTTCTTACAGTGTTTGAACCGTGGTCACTTTTGTCTCCCGTGAATCTTCCCGGCTGTCTCTCAAGCTACAGTATTCTAGTCATGTCCGTCACTTGGTAAGAAAGAACCGTGCATTTCAAGCGCTACTGTCAAATGGCTGTGATTCACCGTAAAGCAGAATCTAGACGGACATTGTTTAGAGAGGCCTCCCTTGTAGAGGAGAATGTGCCGGACTCCAGCACTCGTAGCACATACGTCACGAGAGGGAATGGCCCCAAGCCCTAGCCCCCCTGGGACCTTTGTCATTTCCATCACAATCACTCAAAAATACCGGTTTCGCCAGTTAATCAATGTATCATCTTAAAGTAATCAGGAATGCCTGGTATTTTCACAAACGGGGCCCTGATCAATACCACTATAACAATGATCAACAGAAGCATGACCTTAATCATTTTCTGCTAATGGTGCCCACAGGCAGACAATTTCATGTTTAAAACATTTCCACTACAATAACTTGCACCTCTTTTATGGTTTAAACTGGTGGACTAATTTACTTAAATGAAAATGCTATATACATTTTTCTTTTCCTGGGTTGAATGGTGGCATGATGGTTAGCACTGTTACACAGATGGTTGTGGGTTTGAATGCCCCTTCTGATGTTCATATGTGATTTCCCTGCTTTGTGTGGGCTTCCATCTGCAATCCAAAGACATGCTGTTAGGCTACCTTGCTTGTGTATGAGCTGTCTAATGTATGCCCCCCCCCCTCAAGAAAGATAAGCAGGTACAGGATTGATATGCATTCTTTTTACTCAAAAATGACATATTTTTTAGTGACGTGACAAATGTGTTCGGTCTCACTCAATATGATAAATATGAGACCTATGAAATGTAGCTGCTTTTCATTTTTGATGAGTATAATTTTCATGTTTTTGTTTGGGCACGTTATATAAAGAAAAACATCTTGAGAAGATTAACAGCTGCAGCCTCCAAAATGGTTCAGATAAAATGGACTTCAGCATGTAAGTGTTCATGAGTTGTTACAGCTCAGTGGAAATTATAATGCAGATGAGTGATAAAGGTGGGTGTGGCAGTATGGGAGGAATGGGGGGGTTAAGTGCTTAACCTTTAAAACGTCTGCCCATAATGAGGCCCCATCCTTGTTTGTCTTCTGTGCTTGTGCGTCTCTCAGCATACTTACGTTTGTGTGTGAGTATGTGCGCGTGTGAGTAATTCACGTCGTTTAGTGTGATTTGACTTGGCAGGCCCTCATTGCCTCTAGAGCAGAGTTTCCCAATCCATTCCTCGGGGACCCAGAGTCGGTCCACATTTTAATTCCCTCCAAGCTCCCTACCAGACAGTCCACATTTTTGCTGCATACTGGGAGCTGGGAGGGAGCAAAAACATGGACTGTCTGTAGGTCCTCGAGAACCGGACTAGGAAACATTGCTCTAGTGGACTGCACGTGCTGTCCATCCAAGGCTGATTGTCTGGCTGTGCATACCTGTGCAAGTGCATTGCAGTGGCTTGTGCCTCTCTGTACTCCTGACCTTAGTGTCCTGGCTCCTGGTAGCCTCTGTTCCAGGGGAGACATCAGGAAGGTGTTTACAAAGCGCCACTTACATCACAGGTTTGGCTGAGCCCTGCACGGACTGCCCTTCCACACCGTCAGGGGGCTTGTCCGCCAGTGCTAGCGTGCAGTGTGGTGCAGGGCAGAGCCAGTGAGGTAAACACCCAAACGCAGCTGGAGGGATGCGGACCGCGGGCGACCCTGTGGCCTCTGCAGATGGCGCTCTCGCTCACAACTGACTCTTCTGGCAGCGTCGCTTCACAATACTGGCACTGGGTTCAGCCTCGGTCACACAACACCAAATTTAACCCGGGTACCCTAGAGAGGGGACCTCCAAGGGGTTCCCCTTGAGTGCCAGTGAGAATGACGAGCCTCTGGGATGTCAGAGGACCACATAAGGACTTGGCCACAGACGTGTATGGAGCTCTGGAGGATGCATACGGCCAATATCTTGCTGTGGGATAGAGGTCCCTGGTTCTTCACTGACTCCAAAAAGTCAGTGACGATGCAGTTCAGGTAAACCCAGGGGAACTGGCTGCCCATTAACCTTAGATAAAATACTGCTGTAGCAAAGAAAAAAGATTAATGAAATGTTTTCTTATAAATGAGGGAACAGAGAGAAACTGCAGGACACAGATCAGAGGATAGTGCTTGCCTTTAATTCTAATCGTGGGAGAGAAAAATGACAAGAATAAATACTTTCAAAATCTGTAGACGATGGCAGACAGGGAGAGTTAATGTTGGAAACTGGGAGTAGGGATGCTGGGGGGGGGGGCGGGGGGGGGAGTGCCTTTGCTTCTGTTAACACGGCCTTGGAGGGATAATGGGCTAGGTCTCCCGGGGGACGGGAAGTTTGGGATGTGGAGGGAAGACGCTCGCTGTAACTAGTGGCACAGAAAGAGGTGGAAGCAGTGGGGGAGGCAGGGGGCGGGAGAGGGTAAGAGGCGTGCTGTGAGCGAGATACAAGAGAGGGAGAGAGGAGGTGAGAGAGAAAGAGAGGGAGAGAGAGAGAGAGAGAGAAAGGAGACAGATCGCAAGAGAGCAGAGAGCAGAGAGGAGAGCACCAAGCACCAGGAGGCCAGGCCTTCTACGCACACAAACTCCGAGAAAATGCCCAACTTCGCCGGCACTTGGAAGATGAAGAGCAGCGAGAATTTCGACGAGCTCCTGAAGGCGCTCGGTGAGTCCTCTGCGTCCGTTCCCTTTGCGCCGTTTTGGGGTGTCCACACAGCAGTCTGGCCGGACCCTCACGCACCCCTGGGGTCTCTCCTCCCACACCCAGAGATGTCCCCCCCCCCCCTTTATCCAGCAGCAGGGACAGCAGGATCATCTGCAGGTGGCTGAGAGGGGACCAAGAATCCCAAATAAACAGACGTGATATTGTTAAAAAAAAAAAAAGTGGGGGCACTGTTTTTATCTGTTAAATATTAAACTGAGGCGTATGCATAAGTGGGGTCTGACTCCTGCTGCCAGATGGACAGATTGTATCTTGTCCTTTGTTATCTCCTCCTCTCTTCTTCCTCTGTATGGGGTGTACCGGCAGATTTTTCTGAACCCCAGCCGTCGCGTGGGGGACCTGCGTTTGTTTCCGCAGTGAGATTTCATGCCTTTCAGGTTGTGCAGTGGCACGGTGGGACTAGCGTCGCGCAAACTGCTCATACAGACTCCTGGCGGTAATTAAATCCAGGTGTTGGGTAAAAAAAAACAAAAAACCAGAAAAGGCAAAAAGGAGAAGCAGCCATCCTCGAACGCTCCAAATTCCTGAGGCAGTTTGATTTCATGCCGATAACCTTTAAAAAGAAGCCATTTACGCTATTATTTATTTGGCTGACACCAATCCCAAATGATTACATCTATGCTTTACCGATTTATACAACTGTTTCTTTTTTTTACTGGTTAAGTATCTGGTTCCCTTTTGGGAGTTGTGCTTCTACTCTTTTGAATCCAGTCCTTTAACAGCTACGCCCTCTGGTGGCTTGAAGCAAGGGTACTGGCAAAAATGACGAGTGGGCCCTCCACCAGAAGCTAGAAAATGGACCCGACTGCAGATCATTTGGCAGATTAATGGCAGTCAGCTCAAGTCTGCTGCCGGCTGGAATGTGAACCATGTGGACTCCCAAGCTACCGCGGCAATTTGGCGGGAAGCTGGAGAGCTGGACAGATAGATGGATGACTGTGTGCCCCAGAAGATCAGCACATTCCCCCTCAACGACACATGACACAGAGCATACCTCGCTATCATCACCCGGTCATTTTGTACCAGTTTCGGTATTATCGGTCCATCAGGGCTGCTCATTCCCTGTTGGTGGGTCATAGAGTCCATACAAGTCCATACACAGATTCATTCAGGGACCCCTGAGGCATTTTATTGTGCTGAAAAAGGATTAGCTGGTCTCAACTCCCAGGCATCAGCTGCTGAGCGGAACCAGTGATCATCTCTGGTGAATTACCCCCTGTAAGGTATCTGGGTAAATGTACATGTTTACATGTTAGTTTTAGGTCCTTGACGAGCCTGGCCTAGCCTGTAACATCTACAGGTGATTTCCCTGTCAGGTCATGCTCCTGTGTTGAAGTGAAGTCTATCTCCTCGTGTAGCCATTTCCAGCCAAAGTGCTGGCTAACCGGGATGCTTCACCGTGCCCTCAGGTGTGAACGCCATGCTGAGGAAAGTGGCCGGGGCAGCGGCCTCTAAACCCCATGTGGAGATCCGGCAGAACGGCGACACTTTCTACATCAAGACCTCCACCACTGTGCGCACTACGGAGATCAACTTCACCGTCGGGGAGGAGTTTGACGAGGAGACGGTAGATGGAAGGAAATGCAAGGTGAGAGGGGGGGCAATGACGCTATCAGAGATGGGGGGGTGACAGGGCCACCTGGTGATTAATCAGTTCTCCTTCCCCGGGATGACTGGGGGATTGTGATTCTGGAATATGATATGGCCGACAGAATGTTTGATGATGCACCATGTGCACCCTGTAATCTGAGGTTCGAGGCAAAACAGAAAGTGAGCAAATGAGAGAGATCGCTGCCACAGGTCATTACACATAGTTGAGTATGATTCACATACATCCAGACAGAAAGAGGAGCTGTAGAAGCACAATAACCTCACTAGAGAGGAGTTTTGTTTTTGCTGCCTTTGATTCCACTTTGAGACCTCTCCCAGGGAGGTACGACAACATGGTCACGTGACTCACTGTGGTGGACAATGAGCAGATCTAGGTCAACCTACATGGCAGGTGGTACTGTATGGAAACAGGAGGAGAGTTTCGCCCATAACAACCTTAGACCCACAACAAACCCAGGCGTGTTATTCCTCAGTTGGAGGGGGTAGCTGCCTCTCCTCATTATGGTTTAGGGAAGCTTCTGCTGATGATAATTAATAATTATTAAATCGTCCTCATGCATAAGAATGACAGTGGCTCTAGTTTTAAAATAGAGGATTGTATTATTCTTTGTAGCAAAATCTTCATAGAAAACAATAGAAAATATGAGTCAGCGACCCATGTTCTGCTTTTTTTTGATAGTCCTTGAAGTTTGTAGGAAGCTCATACATTTTAGATGCCCATCACTGTCTGAGATGTGCAGAGCATGACGAACTAGGAGCTCTTGAAGCTGGGCCCGAAATGGAGACCTGGGATTCTCGTTAGTATAAATCCAACAAAAGTCATTGAAAACCGCTGGGTTTTAGATCAAAGCCCATCAGCTTTGAGCAGCAAAGTCAGTATGAGTCAGATGTTCTGAGAGTAAATGCAAAGTCTGTGCGTGCAGCATAAGCGGCCTATAAACACAATTTTTTACTTTTTTAGTGTAATGTCTTCCCAGCTTGAAAGATTCCCGTCCGATTCTTTGTGTCATTACACCGTTGTCACACCCCGAGAGTCATCACTAGCCTGTGAATCCTGCAGATTTACATATCATCACTCAGTCGACACATTTGAAAATATCATTTGATGTCACTTAATGTAAGTTCTCCTTGCAGCCCTGTTTCCAGTAAGGGTCTCACCATCGCTCTAGCTGTGCAAATGAAGCCCCTTCATTTTTAAACTGGTTTTTAAGCTTTTATACCGGTCTTGGAGATATACGGCTGTGTGATATCAGCCGCCGTCTTTATATGGATCTGAAATCATGCTAATTCATGGGAAAGATGCACTTTGGCTGTGTTTTCTGAGGACATTCTTACCTCTCCAGTATGTTTTGGTGAGAGTTATGGCGGAAAGTTCAATAATGGATTAACAGGAACATACATAATTATACAGATGCCACTAAACAGCTTTGGAATGAAGATGTTTACTGGAATTGTCAAGCCTCACGGTTAACTTTTCAAAGCTGAGAAGAACAGTAGAAAATTGAAAAGGCTAATCACCTTCCACCTGACCACGATTTTCCTTAATCACGAAGCAGCTAACCAACATTTGTAATGGAAGAAGTGACATCATATTCAACTGCTTATTGGAGACTTTTGTCCAAAGTGCCTCGGTTTGTACCCATTTATATGGCTGGATGTTTCGCTGGAGAGCTTCCCGTCTCCTGGGACTCGAACTAGCGGCGTTCAGGTTACAAGCCCATATTAACCACGATGATGCACCACTGCCCTAAATCCTACGGCACTGAATTCAGGGACTTCATAATTACGAGGCTCTACTCACCCGCCTCTCTTCCCAGAAGCCCTTGGGTGTTCGTTCTGTGCAGGAATCTTAAGCGCTGTATCGTCATGAGTCTCACAAAGCGTCTGACCGTCCAGCCTGGAATTTAAATCACCCTACGGCTGCCTGCGTTCTAATGACACGTCAGGAGAACGTTTCATCCATGCTCCACTTCTCTCCGTCTGAGATCATGTGAAAATTAGGGTGAAACTTGACCTAATTTGAAAAAGTCCAAGGAAAATAGTGTTGGTGTCTCTGTCCTCCGGCTGGTGTCAGCAGATATCTATGATCAGAAAGTATTTTGTATGTGTTGTTACATAGGACTGGTATATAATACTGGTATCTGTGATCATTATGTTGGTTACCTTCATCTACTAAAGGCTGATGGTTATCTCTGAGTAGTGAGGAAAAATGTCTGTGGTCCAATGACACCAGTATATCCAGGACTGGTGTCTGTGGTATCTGTCATCACCAGTGCTCGGTACCTGTAGCTGCTGTTTTTTTTTCCAGTGACTACCAGCCTCAGAGTGAACAGGGGGGATTACCAGTTGCAACCGAAAGACAATGCCTTGTTAACTCTGGGAAGAGGTTATAATTTCTGCTCAGTTTTCAGGCTTCAGAGAATAGGATTTGGGGGGGGGGGGGGGGTTGTCTCTCTTAAAGATTCTTTCATGGTAATTATACACTGATGCTGATTACCAGCTTGCCGCAGGAGTGGAAACAAGACATCCACATACCAGCTGGGTTCAGGTTTTTACCAGGGACCTGCCCTTCTGCTAACTACATAGAAGAATGAAGGGGGGGGGGGCAAGGTCTGCAATAAGACACCGGTCCTGCTTCAAATCTGGAAATGCATTTGAAGTTGGACGCCCGTACGAACAACAGCAGAAAATGCGGCGGCGGTATGAGTGTTAGCCGCAGTGCCTTTCTTCTGAGCCCAGCCGGATGCATCCTGCCACGACACAACGCGAAAAGGCCTTTGACAAATTGGGAAGCCTCGCCGGGCCTGTTGCTATGGTGACAGTCTTCAACATTGCCCACCTACAGCAGTGGCATGGGAGGGAGACAGTGGAGCAAGATGTGTTACGGAGGACAGAGATTTTGTAGAATTGTGTGGCCAGCATTAACCCCTCACCAGTACAATAATAACAATAACAGCAACAAAACAATAAAAAAATGAACAATGCAACAACAACAACAATAATAATAATAATAATAATAGGCTGGTTCCTGCATATAACAAACGGATATGGATGGATGGAAAATAGGCTGATATATTGTAGCCTCGTGTCCCATGCTGTCTCAACTCAGTGTCGGTCCCCCCCCCCAAGTGGATAGAAGATGGATGGACCTTAACACAACATAAAAATAACAACAAAGGAATAACCACAGCAGAACAAAAAGGTTAATTTGCATTCTGTCCCTTGTCACCATGGCTATAGCAAACCTTACAGTCAAGGACATTTTTTCAAGGTTTGCCGTGTGTCTGAGACATATGTTCACAAACGGATGACGGCATTCTCTGCCGCGACGGCAAATACGGCTGCAGTACACATGGACATTGAATTATAGCTCTTTTATATAGAATTCAACTACCTAATAAGCCATGGGCCTGTATTTCCTGACACGAAGAGTGTCTTTCTTGTCCTATTTAACCCTCTTTCATCCAGTCCAGTCTTCCACATAAATAGCTGAGGCAGACAACTCGTTTTATCGATCAAAGCAGGAAGGTGGTGTATGTTTCAGCCCATGGGCCCGTTTGACGACATAGAAAAGGCTAAAGCGAAGTAGCATACATCCCTGTAGAGAAACAGGTGAAGTGAGGTAAGGGCACCAGCTCATCCTGTCACCCGGCCTCAGAACACATAAGGCAGGCAGAAGCTGCCTAATGTACGTCTGACCTTTGACAGCTAAGCTGTGGCACACTGATTTGAAGTTCTCTTTCCCTTTCACCTGTTTTTGAGTGAATAAGTTACGCTCAGAAGGACAATCCTTTACAACCCATCAAGTTTGCCAATAGCCAAATTTCATGACCTGAGCAGTGAGATAATCTTCCCATTGGAATCAGTGACATTTCAATTCATAATGAAAACCCTACATAAAACCAGATTGGTTTCATAAAGGAAACTAAATCTTTACCCCAGAGCTCGGGTAACAAGTACACATGTGCATAAAACATGTTTTTGTAAGCTTATAGATGGCTATTAAAACAGAAGAAAAATTAGGATCAAAGAAATTAAAGTAGATTTTTTTGAGCATGATGTTTAATGGTGTTGTGGTTTTCTTCAGCAATGCAATTTTAGTTAAAGAATTCAATCTCTAAGCACTCCATGCAGTCATTCTTGTCAAAATGAAATAATGTCTGAGAAACAATGTACTACTACCATCATAATAAGATAATTTATCCCCGGGGTACTGTTGGGCTTTGCGTTGTTAACTATAGTTGTATTTGGCTGACATCTTCCAATAGGTTGCTGAGTTTGAGAACTTAATTCACAAGCCCTCTGTTTTCCCACTCATTTTAGCTATTATCCGAGTCATTATTCTTGGCATACAAATGCCATTAATCCACCCATTCACTAAAAATGTTATTAAATCAAATGTGTGGAGAATGGTTGACCTTTGAACGTGAAGAAGTTTTGGGGGAGGACTTCTCTGTATAAGACAGGAAGACCTACTGAGATCCAGATTAATCAAGTCACCTGGATACCCAAGGGCCATCTTTTAAATTATATAGAGAGAGTTTATCTCATTTTGTCTGTGGTTTATGGGAAAGGATTTGGTTAGGCTATATAAAAACAATGGATTGTTCAAGGAGACTGATACGAATTAATAACAACCTCAAAGATAATGCGACAGACGGCTGTGGCTTGAGTGAACGGAAAGAAAGTGTTTGTGTGCTAGATCTCTCCTTCCATTTTATGAGAATGCCCCCCAGGCAGAAAATTTTCTTGCCCTATCTAACCCCTGTTTTGATCTCATCTCCAGAGTCTGCCCATCTGGGAGACCGAGAACAAGATCTACTGTAAGCAGACACTAATAGATGGGAACGGCCCCAAGACATACTGGAGCAGAGAGTTGAAGGGCGATGAGCTGATCCTAGTGAGTAACACCTACACAGGCCTGCAACCTCCACACACCAGTCACATGCTAATGTACCCGCTGTCAAGTACTTTCAAAGAATCACTTTGATAAGTGATTATTTTTTTATGAAACAATTTCTCGACATCATCAACACAGTCTGAAAATTTTAGGAGTCAGGCTTAAATTCAGCAGAAGACTTTGTCGTATCTGCAATCGGCTCTCAATTAAAATATGGCTCAAAGGGCTTCCTACAAAAAAGAATGTTTATCAGGAGTGGGAGAACCATGCTGCCCATTCAAGTGACTGAAATAAGCAGGCACACCATTTTATCACCGGCACCAAAGTCTCTGTTCTACCATTACTGATTTCCTGCAGCATAAATAAGAACTTTGTAGGTGGTGGGACACATCTGTGTGAATTATAGGCCAGATGCATGGAACGATAAAATGTGGAGGCCATTTTATTAGTGTCAAGGAATGTCCTCTAGGAATGTCTTAGAAATCCCGCTGAGAAATAAAGATGTTTATAGAAATGAAGATCTATAAACAAAGCATTAGTGAATGAGAGTCCTCTGGGCGGTGAGGGTCATGAGCAGGGGCACTCTAGCTCACGTTTAATTTCTTCGTAAATAGCACTTCTTACAAAGTAATGGCAGCAGCTGTGGCTTTCTTGGACCGGAGCCAACTCCTTTCTGGTTAATGTTCTATTCAATCTACAGCTATACGACCCACTCTAGGCTGTAAACAGACATGAAATGCTACACCGCTCAAATGGAGGGGCAGCAGAGGGGACAAACAGTGCCTATGGCAAACGGTTCAAAACTGTGTCAGACGCAATACTTGCACATATTCACATGAAGTTTGACAGAAATAGTTTCCATCTGACGAACCAGGTACCTTGAACTTGATAGACTTGTTAAATGGATCATAAGCTGTAAAACAATTATTTCATGTTCAACTTCAGACCAGGTAAACACCTGCTGTATTTACCAGAGAACCAGACCAGCAGCCTACAGCTCTCTCACATTCATGCACTGGAGAGCAAATCCATGCAAATCCTCTTAAGAATAAAAAGCCATGAGCCAAAGTAACCCCTAAGGCAGCCGGGAGGTGATCAAGCACATCTGTATGCTCTGGGTCAGTGTCCTTATCTATTTTTGGATCATAATCCTCAGAGAGTGATAAAGGCTTCAGACTCGTAAACGCTCACCAGCCTACTGGTGCCACTAACAGCTGTTCGTTTCACATTGCCAACGTTACTGGTTTTCAGCTTTGAGCAACTAAAAAAAAGCAGCTCTGTTCCTGATTGTCACCTGGAGAAGCCAGACAGACCACCAGCCATTACTGCTACCAGATCTCAGATCTTAAAAACTCATTACTGCGGATCAGACGTGTGCCCATTTTCCTTCAGATTCTTGCAGGATGACATGAAAAGCGATGCAATAGCCACGCTTAGTGGAAATGATATGCTGTGCTGACAAAGACATCAGCCTCGATGCTGGCGGACCCCCTGTGACGGCACCATAACATTCCTTCTCTGTCGATAAGGAATACAGATTAGAAAGAAATGGGCTGTTTGATCGGCTCCCCAACTCACTGGACTCTTCTTAGACTTGAGTGAATAGGAATGAACGGCCACTTCTTCAAGACGTTCAGGTGGGCCGCCGTTAAGGCCGACAGCGTTCCCTGCTGTCTCCTCAGGCGCTGGACTCATCCAGGGCTGCTTCGGTGATGAAGGCTATGTAACGGACCTGATCCCCCATTGAGTTTTCAATCCTCTGCTTGACTGACATTCTTCTTCCCGATGCCAGGTGTTCAACACTGGCTCTCAATTAGCATCCATCACCGGGGATACTCTGACTCACGAGTCATACCTTAACCTCGTATCATCTGGGATTTTTGACCTGCCTGGACACAGCGGTAAAGGCAGGGTTAGAAATCTGTACCCATGCCCAGAAGGTTGATAGTTTAAATCCCAGAGTTGGCAGGGTAACACTGTTTGGTCCGCGAGTGACATCCCTAACCCCAAATACTACTCTTCACTCTTACCTTTATGTCTGCATTGCATAGAAGAGCAAGTAAGGTTACGTAGAAACAATTTATATCTACTTCTGCTTGTAGAAATGACAAATAAAAGTATCCTATCTTAGATCTATCCTCTCTGGGCTGTGGACACTTGGCCTGCCGCTTTGACCTGCCGTATGGCTCCTTGGCCCTCCCAGTCTTTCAGATGCACGTCACAGATGCTCCCCAGCGCCGTGCCGGCTTCTCAGTCCCTCCCCAAATGGCAGCGACTCCCTGCTCCACGGAGACAGGGTCAGGGCGGGGAGGGGGCATTCTGCTGGCTGGTGCCCTGCCTCTCCATCCCCGTCCCTCGCCCGTCACATGGAAGCTACAGCTATTCTTCTCTTTAAGGTCATCTCCCAGTAGAAACAAACGTGCAGGAGTCAAGGAAACCGCCTGGTGAACTCTCATAAACAGGCCTCTAAATATACCCGAGTCCCTAAGCTTGTTTCTGCCTGGTCACACTTGAAAAACCTTCACAACCCCCATAAGGTTTGCTAAACACTTAACTCAAAAAAGGTGTCCGCTCTCTCCCTAGCCAAGCGGCGATTGCACAGTCCCACTGATGATTAGTTGGACTAAACTAGAAGAGAAGACGCCGGCATGTTTCATACATTGAAAAAAAGACTCATATCTGAAAATCAAAATATCGTGAAAGAGCTGGATGAGGGAAATGTCCAATTTGGTAGCTGGGCTCGAACTCGACTTTAGATCTACCCAGCTTGACGCTTCCATAGACAGACATTAGCCAATAGAGACCCCCGGCTGAAATTGGCTTATTCTTTCCCAGTTGAAGGACTGACAGTAGAGAGGTACTCAGATCATACATTCAGCTTCTACACATAACAATATAAGGGGCAGCACAAGGCAAACAGGCAGAGAATATGAATATACAGCATCATTTAAAGAAAATGCACAGGCTGACATATAACAACCATGTCCTTGGAACCAAGAATTCAAAGTACGACAAGTAAAGCTTTATGCTCTTGATCAATTAGCAATTTCATGCATCACTGGCAGAGGTGGGTAGTTCAGGTCTAGAAAATAAAAATCCAGAACAATATTTTATTTCAAACAACCAGTTGAGTTCTCTGTGACTCTTTGCTGAACTGGCTGGTTGAAACAAAATCTTGGTCTGGACTTTTACTCTCTGGCCCTGAACTAGCCGCCTCTGACCACCGGGACATCCTGAGGCATCCTGTGATGTAAATGCTTTTCTCGCCATCTTGGTGATGGTGCTCAGACATCCCTCTCTTGATGCAGATCTTTGGGGCCGACGATGTCGTCTGCACACGGATTTACATGCGGGAGTGAAGGCACATGAGGGAGGGGCCTCCTCGTGGGACGCGGGCGGGGGCATCGCCGCCCAGCTGTGTGCACCTGCCCCCCCCCCCCCCCCCCCCCCACCTCCCCACTTCTTCCTCCTCCCTCTCCCTCCACCCAAAAACACAATCTTTTCCCGAGGCTGCATGCAAGCATCCAAAAAGCGCACCACCACCCAGCCTGCTGTTGTGACTGTGACTTTCAGTGTAAGCCTCCATTCCTGTCACCCGCAAATACCCCCCCCCCCCCAATACGAAGCCTGTCCTTTTTCTATGTTAGATTGCTGTTGTTTGTCAGTATTGAGAGTAATAAAACAGGAATCCAATGGTCCCGGCTGCAGTGTGGTTATTAATGCCCCTTTTCCTCGCCTCTCACTCGTAATCCTCCTCGTCGCGAGGGAGTGTGGCAGACGGCACAGAAACAATGTCGTCCCGCGGCCATCGCCAAGGCCCGGGATCTGCGGGGCGTGCGGCCAGCCGTCCCGTGGTGCGTCCCGGCACCGCCATCTCCTCGTAAATCAGCAGTGTCATCCGCTGATACAGACATCTGGCCACGGCTCCAAAAGGCTGGTGCTAGGGGGGACGTGGGGCGGGG